TTCTGTGCTTCCCTCCCTTCTCGTCCTCTTTTATGGCAACTTTCTTCTTCGGGCAGTTTGCTGGAGTCGTCTGTTTATCTTCCGTGTCCCAGTTCTCACTGGGACCTGCCGCTTTTCCTCCCTATTAACTTTTTTTAATGGGAGATCTTACTCGCAGCGTCTCCTCGCCGCCATGTTGCTCCGCCCACCGCCAGCTTTGGATTTTTAAAAAAACAGGCAGGTCAGCTGTAGCATTGTAACCAGGGCAACAGTTGTTGCCTGAACCATAGCATGAGCCACGAGCCATAGTACCTGAAAACCATTTCTGAAGACTAAGCCTATTATAAGACATCCTCATCCCAGTACCAGTTCCAAATACAGACTGATATTAACACAAAGCAGAACAAATTAATAACACTTATGATTACTTACATATGTTCACCTCAAATTATAAGTACACTATATTCATATTCTACCTTCTTGGAAGAAATGGAACTGGACATGATTGCAATAAATCTGAATTTGGTAAGGAATTGAGTGCATAGGTATAGATATCTTAAATGGCTATTCATGGCTATTTTGATGAACTTGCACCAAGACAATGCTGACTCCATAGCTTCTGGGCAGGAGAACACGATTTAGAGAAACTATTCCTTTCTCCAGGTCCAGGGATTGTGATGGAATACAAATTCTCTCACTCTTTTTGCTAAGAGAATGTAAGTATTTGAGTGTTTCTGCTGCTCTTTAAATGGCATGGGGAGGGCAGAACTAGCTTTTAGTTTATAAAATCAACCTCCACTTTGGCCTGTCATGGAGTCTGAATCACATCCTCCTCAATGACAACGGAAAAAGCAAAATGCTTTGTGAACCACCAACTTTTAGTACCAGCTATGTGATGAAAGCAGAATTCCTCCAGGGATGAACTCTCCTCTTGCTGCTATCAACAAGCAGTTCCCCCTCAAGGGAAGCAAGGACAACAGAGCAATTATTTTCTGTTTGTGTCTAATTTGGAGCTGGGTGGGGATGCCCTCGAGGGTCCTCTCCAGGCATTGAAAAGCTAGAACCCACTGCTCAAGCATTGCTCACTGCTCAGGAGTTATAAACAAGTATGTGTTGATTTATATCTCCTCTTAGTTCTGAGCTGACAGCTCTTCTTGTGACAATGCATCTTTGAAACCCTTAGAGACTTCACTTGCATCACTGTATCTATGTCTTCTAGAGCGAAATGGAAGAACTGCCCATGTCTTATAGCTGAAGGTACGTGCTCATCACCCAAGAGGCACTGTCAGAAAAAAAGAATTTACATTCAGTAGTGTGGCTGCACACGCATGCGTGTCCAGTCTATATTACTTGTATTCTAGCATGGCTGGACCATTCTCACACCAGAGTATACCAGACATTACCATGTGGAGTAATTCATCACAGTTGAACCATAAATTTTTGAGAGGCTGGGGAAAAATATTTTTTTTCTACCTCTAGCCTATACCCCAGCTCTTGTATGCATAAATAAAATAAATCTTTAAAAAAAAAAGATTGATGATAGACTAAAACTGTTAAGGAGAGGCAATGAATTACCTTAAAGGAAGGACTTAAAGGATGGTCTTTTTACGAGGTGTTTCACTAGATCTTTCATTTATTGACACAGAGTCCAGTGAGTGCTACTGCTTTAACCAATAACATGATATTAACCAATTCTCCAAATCCAGACTGCTGTGTGATCTAGAGGTTGCCTATCTCATTCAACTCATGGAAACAACACATTATCCAAGTCAGTGTGAGATAAGTGGGAAGGTTAAGAAAAGCCAACTGACCCATTTGAGGACCTCCATTACTGTTCGTAGTAACTGGTTCTGACCTAGACTTGCTAATTACAAATTTCAGATTTCTGTCATTAACTCATGAACTCCTCTTGCTTGATCCTGACCTGATCTGATCATCATTCAACTTCTTCATGATTTCTCCAAAAAAGATTATATTAGTTTCTTGATGGACACAATATATCAGACCATCGCTTGCCCATTAGTAGGGCAAAAAGCAGGAACTATTTAAGCTAAAATTCATGTACTGACTAGTTCAAAACTATATTCAATAATGTTATAGGCAAAATGATGTTTCATTCTTTCACATTTCCATCTCTTTTCATCTCCAGCAAAAGAGACCATGAGGAGGGATAATCAGAGCAGTGTGTCCGAGTTCCTCCTCCTGGGGCTTCCCATCTATCCAGAGAAGCAGGGCCTGTTCTTTGCTCTGTTCCTGGGCATGTACCTGACCACAGTGCTGGGGAACCTGCTCATCATCCTGCTCATCAGGCTGGACTCGCGCCTCCACACCCCCATGTACTTCTTCCTCAGCTACCTGGCCCTGACCGACATCTCTTTCTCATCAGTCACAGCCCCAAAGATGCTGTTTAATATGAAGACACAGAGCCAATCTATCGCATATGCTGGGTGTGTTTCCCAGGTGTATTTCTTCTTAATGCTTGGGTGTCTGGACAGTCTCCTTCTCACCTCCATGGCCTATGACAGGTACATGGCCATCTGCCACCCCCTCCACTATACCACCATCATGAATCAGAGCCTGTGCTTCCTGCTAGTTGTAGTGTCCTGGGTCCTCTCCTCTACCAATTCCCTTTTGCACACCCTCCTCCTGGCCCGTCTCTCCTTCTGTGGAGATATCCTTATCCCCCACTTCTTCTGTGATCTCTCCACCTTACTTAAGCTGTCCAGCTCAGATACCACAGTCAATGAGTTGGTTATTCTCACTGTGGGAGTGGTGGTCATTGCCGTACCATTCATGTGCATCCTGGTTTCTTATGGCCGCATTGGAGCCACCATCCTGAAGGTCCCCTCCACCAAGGGAATCTGCAAAGCCTTGTCCACCTGTGGCTCCCACCTCTCCGTGGTGTCTCTGTACTACGGACCAATTGTTGGTCTGTACTTTTTACCCTCATCCGGTAACTCCAATGAGAAGGACATGATCGTGGCAGTACTGTATACACTGGTCACCCCCATGCTAAACCCTTTCATCTACAGTCTAAGGAATCGGGACATGAAAGGAGCTCTAGGAAAAATACTCAGCAAAGGAGTATTTTTTCCAAGATGAGCATTGTTTTCCCGTATAACGTTTTCTGGATCATCATTTCCTTTCTGAATAATTGTTTTTAAATGAATGTTAATGTATTCATCTTTCTTCTGTCTGACTTAGCTTGAATGTAGCTTAGTCATTTCTGTTTAATTTTTTTCTTTGTCATAGAGAGCCTGGGGGGGAAGGTTTTATAATCATAATGGCACAGTCATCTTTACTGAAGTTTTTCCTTTTTATATAGTTCCTATTGTCTTGCAGGCATTCAAATTCTTCTGTAGACACATTTTCACTGTTATTTTTTTACTGGATAGTTTACGGTCTTTTTTCGTATCAAAGCATTTCCCCTTCTCAGAATAACAAAAATACTTGTTCAAGTAGGTTCACAATTTTATTTTTGTGTCTGTTTCAGTAATACACTATGAATTTACTTTTTTTTAAAGATTTATTGATACAAGAACTGGGGTACAGGTCAGAGCGTAGGAGGGTAAGAGAATTCACCAGAGCCAGAGCGGGAGCAGAACAGGCAGATGGACCAAAGACACTGCTGAGGGGAGCAGCGGGTGAGGCCGGAGAAGTCCACTGTGCCATGTGGGGTTCTCCCTGGCCGGCAAGGAATCAAACCAGCATTGCAGAGACTGAGGACAGCTTCGCAGTGCAGTGCTCAACCACTGAGCCACTGGGGAGGCCCTGAATTTATTTTTTAAGTGACCTTAATCAGAAATCCAGATTTACTTTTGCTTGCATTTTAATTATTTGTATACTTTTATGTTTACAACATTTTCATGTTATAGCTTTCACCGGGTTATTTTAAGTTTAATCAAAAGTGTCTCTCTCGGGCCTCCCCGGTGGCGCAGTGGTTGAGCACTGGGTTGCGAAGCTGCCCACAGCCTCTGCAGGGCCGGTTTGATCCCCGGCTGCTCCCCGGCCACTGGAGGAGGGTCCCACATGGCACGCAGACCTCTCCTGCCACCCGCTGCTCCCCTCAGCAGTGTACTTGGTCCTTCTGCCTGCTCTGCTCCCCGCTCTGGCTCTGGTGAATTCTCTCACCCTCCCGCGCTTCTGACTGTACCCAGTGCTTGTATAAATAAACAAACAAATAAATAAATAAATCTTTAAAAAAAAAAAAAGTGTCTCTCTCCAAGGTTTGCTGAGTATCCCTGAAGTGGGGACTCTTTCTGCGGGTGGGTGGGTTCCAGGAACCCCCCAGGCTGCCTGTCCACTATATGTGCCAGTCTCTGAACTTTGTCAAGAGGTTTATTGTCTTCCCCACATTGCTGATATTCATGTTATAATGTGGGTTCCCTCTCCCCCACCCCCCAGTAAACTCATATTATGGTTATATGCATTTGGATTGCATTACAACAAGCCTTCCCTGCTTCATGAATTTACCAATTAGAGATCCTGAACTGGAGAAAGAGGGACATACCCTGATCCCTGGCTCTGTAGACCAGCTCTGAGTCCCATGGTGCTGTAACAATCAGAGACAATTCTAGGCTGCCAGTATCCCCAAAGGATTGCAAAGTTTACTGAAACACAGGCTTATATCCCAAAGGAACCTTGCACATGTACAACTGAAAACACAGAATAGATTTATAGGAACACTGTTCATAATGACAGAAAAAAAATCACTAAAAGGTGCTATAGAAAAATGTGGTTATTTTACATAAGGAATATTATAGCCCAATTAGATGCCATATTACTGTGAACTGTAGAGATGAAATATTGAGAGAAAAAAAGCAAGACTCCAGCTATATGCCAAAATGCACTGTTGCGGCCTGTCCCCCCACACTACTCTTCCACAGCACCCCTGTGCAAGTGTTGGGTGCCTCTGCCACCTCCTGCCCATACAGAGGGCAGCCCCACCCTGGCTTTCCTGAAGTGATAGGACTTGTCACTGGGTAAGGGCTGACAAATAGCCACTAATAAGCAGTCTTACCAGCCTTCTTCAGTTGGTTGATATACTTCTCTGTGCTTCTCCCATGACCCACATCCCTGGAACATCAAGACTATTAGAACAAAGAGGGTAAGATCTGCTCTGTTCAATGCACTGTTCTGGCACTCAGTGCTTCATGAATCTCTTACAAAGGAGGGAACAGTCTGTTGCCTCTGTCCATAGTTCTGAAGCACTTAATGACCCCTCTCAGGATCTGATGGGGGACCAGGATGATTTGGGCCTGTTTCTCAGCTCCAAAGCACCAGAAATTACTTAAGATTTCTTAAGTGGTATTTTGTAAGGTCTCTGTTTCTTAGTCTGATTTTACTGGGCTACAGAACAGTGTACGAGCTTCTTCTGGGGTTTACCAGTGACTTGGAACTAGGCAGAAGGAAACAACAAAGTAGTGTCCACCCTCCTCTACCCCAGGAGAACATCTCCATAGGCCCAACATGGTTCTTGTCTTTTTTATATGGGCCAGTTACACAGGCGTGAGGTAGTATCTTGTGATTTTGATTTTCATTTCCCTGATAAGTGATGATTAGCATTTTTTCATAGGCCTGTTGGCTATCTCCTATTAATTAGTCAAATAATAAACCTTTCAAAGATATGGATCTTATTTTTATCTCCACATAAGTAGGGAAAGAATGAAGTACTTGGTTTGAGAAAGACTTTGTCAACTCTTCAACAAAACGGGCTGGTCAGGTGTAGCATTATAATCAGGGCAACATTATCAACTATGAACTATAGCACTTGGAAACCATTTTTGAAGTCTAAAGATCTCAGAAAACTGCTTCACTCAAATAGAAGTTCCAGTACGACTGGTTTTAACACAGAAAAGAACAAATTATAACACTTATGAATAGTAACATATGTTCACCTCAAATAAGCTGCACATGATATTCATCTTCCAACTGGCTTGTAAGAATGGAGCTGTATAGGATTACAATGAGTCTGGAGTTCATTGTGTAAAATGTTTTCTACAAAGCACATCTTGAATGGTTATTCACTGGTATTTTTGATAAAGTAAAGCACCAAGACAATGCTTACTTACTCCATAGCTTTTAGGTAGGAGACCAAGCTAGAAATTATATTCCATTCTCTCAGGTGTGGATGTCTCATAGTGAGATTTAAATTCTCTTACTCTTGAATGGTCAATCAAAAAGACTGGAAAAAGTGTGGGGTGTTGGAAAAGGTGTGGAGAAAAAAGAACATGCATTCACAAACAGTCTAGAGATTCCTTAAACAACTAAAATGGAAAACCTATATTATCCAACAGTGGTGCTAGCAACCCCATTCCTAGACATTTGTCCAAAGAATTTGAAAACACTAGTATGAAAAGATTTATGCACCCTAATGTTCATAAGAGCATTATTCACAATAACCAGGATAGGGAATCAACCTAAATGCCCAAAAACAAACAACTGGTATAAATATACTCGAAGTAATCCCACTTGCCTACTAAAAACAATGAAACAGTGCCTTTGGAGACAACACGGATAGATCTTGAGGTGATTTTACTAAATGAAGTAAGTCAGAAAATTACCAGATGGGTTCACTCATTTGTGGAATGTAAGTAACTATGAAAACAAGCCAACAAACATAATAAAAATAGCTCTTAGAATAACTATAAGAAAGAAAAAATCAAAATCAACAACTATGAACCAGAGACACACTATGGGGGGGTATGGGGAAAGGAGGGATTAGGGTCAAAATAAGGGGGTTGCAATTGTATGGGGAATATAAAAATAAAATTTTAAAAAATAAAAATAAAAATAGCTCTTAGATAAGACCTGGAAAAATATGATGGTTGTCATTGGGTGGTAGTGACAAAAGGCAGGGGACTAACGTGATGGTGTATCAGTCCTGGAACTTTGCTCGAAGGAGAGTGAAGCATGTGCACACATTGAAGTGTGAAACTGTATTCCTGAAATTATATAATTAAGTGAAAGATAAATCAATAAAGTTTTATTTAGAAACTGATAAATAAATAATACATTTTCTCATTCTTTTTCAGAGAGTGTACGTATTTGAGTGTCTCTGCTGCTCTTGAAAGGGCACGGGCACAGAAACAGACTTTGGTCAACACAATCAACCTCCAGTTTAGTCTGTCATGGACTCAATCACATCATCCTCAATGGCAACAGAAAAGCAAAATGCATTGTCAACCACGAAGTTTTTAGCACCTGCTTTCTGATGAAAATAGAATTCCTCACATTCACATGAGACACAGAATTTGGTTTTTGCAATGTAAATTAAAATTAAATAAAATTTCAAATTAAAAAAGAAAATAGAATTCCTCCAGGGGTGAACTCTCCTCTTGCTGCTATCAACAAGCAGTTCTCCCCTCAAGGGAAGCAAAGGCAATGAAGCAATTACTTTCTGTTTGTCTCCAATTTGGAGCTGGACAAGGGGTTTCCTCAAGGGTCCTCTCCATGATTTGTAAAGTAAGAGCCCACAGCTCACGAAATGCTCATTGCTCAGGAGTTGTAAACAAGTGTGTGTCGCTACATCTCTTATTTGAACTGTCAATTCGTCTCCCTTTTAAAATGCATCTTTAAGACACTTGGAAACTCCACCTCTTCACTGCATTCTGTGTCTTCTAGAGAGAAATGGAAGAACCTGCCCATGCCTTGTAGCTGAAGGTACGTGCTAATCATCCAAGAGGCACTGTTAGAGCAAAAGAATCTATGTTCAGTAGCATGATCAGTGTGTGTGCAGTGTGTGCTACTGTGCATTAACATGGTTATGCCACTCCTCACATCAGGTGTAACAGACATTAGAATAATTTATCGTGGCTGAATCTTAAAATTTTGAGAGAATGTCAAAAAAATCTCCTTATCTTCCAATATACAATTTTATCACAAATCTGTAATTATCTTCATATTTGCTGCCATGATTTAGGTGTAGGCAGGTATTGTTTTACACTGAACTAGTGTAATAGCCTCTTATAAAGACTCCTGCTGACCATCTTCCTTGCTATCGTCTGTTCCATACCAACAAACGATTTTATTTTTTTGCATTCATTCACTTATACCCTTTTCATGGGTGTTCAATTTTCTGAAAATAGAATAAAAACTTTCACCACAGTAGAAAAGGCTTTATCAACTGACTCTAGATCATTCCCCAACCTCATAATTTTCTGACCATGCTTTTGAATTTTTTCTAGACTTCAAGCATCACTGTCCTTACTAGAAAGCCAACTTATATGCACTTTACAGATGCTTAGTATTCAGGATACATTTTAAAGAATCTGTAAGAAAAGTCTTCCTCACCACATTAACTTCTTGGAATTTAACAATATCTACCAAAATTGTGAAGATTTTATATGTGTGTGTGTGTATATATGCGTGTGTGTATATATATATGTGTGTATATCTACATCTATGTATAAATGTATCTCCTCTAACCCCATTCCTAAGAATTTATCCTATAACATATATGTTGTTGCATATATGCTAATGTGTAAAATGCATATAAACATGACATTTTTAAAGAATTAATAAAGTATTGTTGGAAATAAAAAATGCCAGAAACAACTTAAATGCCCATCTGACAGCTATTAGCACTTTCATTGTGACAAATTAATTACTATTAATGTGGTAAATACTGACAACTCTGAATGTGTAATTCATTTTAGATAATCAAGTTAACAGGATTTTTAATTTAGTGGACTGAAAAATGTGGCAAATGTAGAGATATCAAAAAGGGAGAATTGGCACATCATTCATCTAAGATGAATGGTGAAATTTATAGGAAAGCACTTTCTTGGATTTCAAGGTGCAAGACCTGTATATAAATCTTTATACAGTGGCTCTATATTTTGGTGAAGAGACTACAATGTTCTGTTCACATGGGCAGAACCATGAGTATGCAACCTGCATACTCTTAGAAAGAGTGAAATATAGTAGCACAGTATACATGTTAGAAAATGACAAGTAAATATTCATTATGAACCACTGGCATAAAACCTAGACTAGAAATTTTGAAAAGGAAGGTGTTATTTGACAACTATGATGGACAGACATTACAACAACTTATTCCTTGACAGATCCAGGAGAGGGCTGGAAAAACCAAAGTATTTCTTGGTCTTCCAAGAACGTGACTAAAAGTGATCTGTTTAGACTGAAAATGATGTGGTGTGAAAGAGAAGTGGATATTTCTCTACACAGTCCTTAAAAATTCCTTTAGAAAGATTTATGGTAGACTAAAAATGTTAAGGAGTGGGAGGAATTAAGTTAAAGAGGGAATTGATGACTTACTCAAGAGTTATTTCACTAGATCTTTAAGTTATCGATAGACTCTAGTCATTAATGCCCTTGTCTTAAAAAGTTAGCACATGATGTCCCATCAATTGTCCAAATCTGGACAGCTGGTGTCATCTAGAGCAGTCAGGGTTTGTTCTGCCTTATCTCAATTGAATCCATGGGCAAAGAACATTAACCAAAGCTTGTGTAGGAGGAATGCACAAGGTCATGAGGGTCAACAGACCAATGTGCAGTCTCTACTAGTTTTTTCTAGTAACTAGTTATGACCTATGCTTACACCTTAGCTTCCTAATCTCAGATTTCTGCCAGCAACTCTGGACTTCTCTTGTTTAATACTGATTGGATCTGATAATTATTCTGTTGTTTCATAGTTTCACCAAAATATTGAATTGGTTTCTAAACGAACACATAATATCCTGATGTCAAGCCATCACTTGCCCATCAATGGAGCAAAAAGCATGCACTATAAAGGTTAAAATTCATGCAATGATTAGTTCAAACCATGGTACATTATGTGATCATCATAATTATTTCACGTTTCCTCTCCAGCAAAAAAGACAACCATGAAAGACAATCAGAGCAGTGTATCTGAATTTCTCCTTCTGGGGCTCCCCATCAGGCCAGAGAAACAAGGCTTATTCTACATCCTGTTCCTGGTCATGTACCTGACCACAGTGCTGGGCAACCTGCTCATCATCCTGCTCATCAGGCTGGACTCGCGTCTCCACACCCCCATGTACTTCTTCCTCAGCCACTTGGCCCTCACCGACATCTCTTTATCATCAGTCACAGCTCCAAAGATGCTTTTTAACATGCAGACACAGAGCCAATCCATCTCATATGCTGGGTGTGTTTCCCAGGTATATTTCTTCTTATTCTTTGCTGATATTGACAGCTTCCTTCTCACCTCCATGGCCTATGACAGGTATGTGGCCATCTGCCATCCCCTCCACTACACCACCATCATGAGTCAGAACCTGTGCTTCCTCTTGGTAATTGTGTCCTGGGTCCTGTCTGTTGCTAGTGCCCTTTTGCATACCCTTCTTCTGGCCCGTCTCTCCTTTTATGGAGACAACATTATCCCCCACTTCTTCTGTGACCTCTCTGCCTTACTCAAGCTGTCCAGCTCAGACACCACAGTCAATGAGCTGGTTATTCTCACTGTGGGAGAGATGGTCATTACTGTGCCATTCATCTGCATCCTGGTCTCTTATGGCCGCATTGGAGCCACCATCCTGAAGGTCCCCTCCACCAAGGGAATCTGCAAAGCTTTGTCCACTTGTGGCTCCCACCTCTCTGTGGTGTCTCTGTACTATGGATCAATTATCAGTCTGTACTTTTTACCTTCATCCAATAACTCCAATGAGAAGGATATGATCGTGGCGGTACTGTACACACTGGTCACCCCCATGCTTAATCCTTTCATCTACAGTCTGAGGAATCGGGACATGAAAGGCGCTCTAGGAAACATCCTCACTAAAGGAATATTTACACCAAGATGAGCATTATTTTCCTCATATTGGACATAAGACCTACTTCACCCTACACATGCAACATGAGTATCACTTCTTCTCTGAATAGATGTTTCTTACTGAATTTTGTTATGGCACTCTTTTTTCTCTATTTTTCCTTTTTTAAAATTATGCTTTTGCTGTAATGTTCATTTGCAACACTGTATATATTTTAGAGGTATAGTTTCACAACCCCACAAATGTATGTTATCACATTGAGCCCACCATCAAAGCACAAAAATTCCCCACCATAGTACCTTGGACCTGTACATCACCCCCCACACACACTTGATGCTACCACATACCCACATACCCTCTCCTGCTGGTAACCAAAGTTTTGGAGTCAGATTTCTTTTTTTTTTTTTTAAATAATAAATTTTATTTTATATTCCCCATACAATTGCAGCCCCCCCATTCTGACCCCAATCCCTCCCCTCCCGCCCCCTGCCCCCCAAAAAGTGTCTCTGGTTCATAGTTTTTTGTTGATTTTGATTTTCACTTTCTTATAGTTATTCATTTTCCTGGTCTCTTATTTAAGTTTTCTAGATTCCTGCTATGAGTGAGACCATCCGGTATTTTTCTTTTTCTTTTTGGCTTATTTCGCTGAGCATGATCCCTTCCAGCGCCATCCATGTTGCTGCAAATTGCATGTGTTTATCTTTTTTGAATGCTGAGTAATATTCCATGGTGTATATGTACCACATCTTCTTGATCCAGTCATCTATTTTTGGGCATTTGGGCTGTTTCCAAAGCTTAGCTATTGTAAATAGTGCTGCTATAAACATAGGGGTGCAGGTGTTCTTTGGAATTGATGTTTCTGTGTCCTTTGGGTTGGTTTGGTTTTGCTTGTTCCTGTGTTTTGTATTTTCAATTTCACATATGAATGAAGTCATCTGATATTTGTCTTGATCCTTCTGGCTTATTTTGCTTAGCATAATCCCCTCTGTTCCCATCCATGTCATTACAAATGGCAAGATTTGGGCCTCCCCCGGTGGCACAGGCAGTTGAGCGCAGCACTGTGAAGCTGTCCGCAGCCTCTGCAGCGCCTGTTTGATTCCGGCTAGCCAGTGATGCTCCCACATGGAGCGGCAGACCTCTCCTGTCTCGCCTGCTGCTCCCCTCAGCAGTGTGTTTCATCAGTCTGCCTGCTGCTCTGTTCCCTGCTCTGTCTCTGGTGAATCCTCTCACACTCCTGCGCATGTGCCCTGTACCCCAGTTCTTGTATAAGTAAATAAATAAAATTTTAAAAAAATACTCTTATAAAAAAAAGGGGAATGCTTATTACAACCCTTCTATATTGATCCTTCAATTTTGCCTGCTTTAAAATTATATATAAATGGAATAATCTATACTCATTTCTCTAGATTTTGTTTTGTTGTCTAATGTCCTTGTGAAATTCAACCATATTGTGTAATATTTCATTGTGACACTATAAAACATTTATATTTTTTTTAAGATTTATTTATTTATTTATATAAGCACTCGGTACAGTCAGAAGTGCAGGAGGGTGAGAGGATTCACCAGAGACAGAGCGGGGAACAGAACAGGCAGCCTGATGAAATACACTGCTGAGGGGAGCAGCGGGCATGGCAGGAGAGGTCTGCGCACCATGTGAGACCCTCACCAGCGGCCGGGGATAGAACCAGCGCTACAAGGGCTGCGGGGAGCTTCGCAGCCCAGCGCTCAACCACTGGGCCACCAGGGGAAGCCCTATCTGTTTTATTTTTTTACAGCTTTCCTTTTTTCAGAATTTTGCTATTATGAATGATGCTACTGTCCCATTCTTGTATTCCATCTAGTGCATATATGAAAGATAGTCCATAAAATATGTCCAGAAGAAAAATAACTAGATTGTAGGTATGCATATATTCAACTTGGCTATCTCTGTTAAACTCTTTTCTAATAATTGTACCAAGAAGCCACTCTAAAAAGGCTACATCCTGTGCTATTCCAACTATATGACATTGTGGAAAAGACAACCATAGCTCAGGGTTCACAGTCTGGGCTACAGATCAAGAGACAGTATAAGATCAGTGGTAACTAGAGGTTCAGACATGAGGTGGGGGTGACTGGTGAATAGATAGAGCAAAGGGAAAGTTTAGGACAGTGAAACTATTCCATATGATGCTGTAACAGTGGCTACATGCCATTATGTATTTGTCAAGGACCAAAACAATCTGCAAAACACAAAGAGTGAACACCAGTGTAGACTATGTACTTCAGCTGATGTCAATATATATTGGTTAAATCACAACAAATACACCACCTGATGCAAGATGTTAATGAAGGGAGAAGTAGGTAGGGGTGAGGGAGAAGTATATGGAAGCTTTCTGCTCAAGTTTTCTATAAACCTAAAACTGCCCAAATAAAGTGAGTTATATTGATTTAAACCTTCATCACCTGAGCATAAGGTTCCATCTGTAGCAACACTTGATACTGACAGATTAATTTTTGCAATTCTGGTGAATAGAAAATGATACCTTACTGTGGTTTTACTTTCTACTTCCCTGATTATTTATAAGGCATAACATCTTAGTCTATTTACTTTAGTTTTGTGCCAGGGATGACTGGCTGCTAAATTCCATGACCTCCTTCCCAAGTATGAAGGCAGCTGCCACATTTCCTATTAATCTAGGTGTGGCTACGTAGCATGTCCTCCCAGGGGAGACATAACGTGTAGCTTCCAGACCAGAATTGTTAAGGGAAACATGGGTGTCTTCTGCATTGTCTGGAAGCAAATTACCTGCTTCCCTGAGAAAGACTTAAAACTGGTCTCTGAATTACCACATAATCCAAAGCTATTTACCCACTAGAAGATGCCGCCCTCTTCCCCACCCCCGCCACCCCGGGAACATTAGAACAACCATCATTATCCTTATTGATACAAAAACAGATGCAAGTAAATGATGGGTAAGTTTGAAGTTTGGGGTACTGTAATGAATTGTTCAAGAGAGGACACTATTTTCTACTTGGGAATGCTTTCCCTCCTAGACCCTGGCTTTGTGGTGGCACATTCCCTACAGGTGTCTTAATCTTTCTTGGTGTGTCCTAGACTTTCAATGATGTCTTTTGGGTAGAATTGAAAAGAGTTTTATGTCAGTTCTCTCTCATATAATCTACCTGTTGTCCACAGGAAACATGTTTGCTGTTATTGCCCCACTGTGAAAATAAATGAAGATATTTTTCAAACATAATATATATTCCATCTCTCTTTTTCTCTAACCCCCTGATCCATTTTGTCTTTCCTATTGCTCTCGTAAATCAGGGGATATATATCACATTGTCTACTTGGTTCTGCTGAAGCTTCTCCTACAAAGCTTGAGATGATGGGGAAAGTACTCCCTCTCTGCTGGAGGGACTTGGGGACTATTCAACAGCTTTATCCAAAGGAAATCTGTATGGGACTCTCATCTCCAACTCTTCATAGTTGAGAGGCTCAAAAGTTATGAAATTATTTGGCATTTCCCATAACATCTTTATTTTTGTGACTTACAATTCACTTTGGTGTCTGGTGTCTATCAAATCATGGCTCCTGAGTTGAAGCTTCTAGTTTATTTACATCCTGACACACGTTGTTCCTTCTGTGATTGTCAGGACATGATAAAGCTTTGTGTGTCTTGATATATTTGCCTTGTTCAGTTTCAGGTTCTCAGGTAAAGCAACACCTTCTCTTAGTAGTTTTTCATATCCTGTGCCTCTGTATTCAGCTACTTCTTTTTCCTCAGGGCAGTGTTCCACATAAGTTATTATTGTCCTTGTCACTTTTAATCCCTTTGGAGCTAGACAGTCCAGATTCAAATTCCTTTCAATTAACTGCAATCTCAAGATGATTGTCACCTTGTCAAGGATGAGTTTTCCACATATCTTTTAGGGCTGTTGTCAAGACTAAATTATGATTTTAATACATAATAAGATCAGTACTGAGGCAACAAAGGTAACATTTGTTTTGCTGATGAATTTTTGCATGTGTTAGGGAAGAAGGGAAGTATATGCTGTATTCCTGAAGGACAAAAAGGAGTATGCTAATTATTATTTAAAGAGAGTAAAAGTTAATAGGTTCTCCCTGAAAGTACTAAAAACACTTGGGATGCAGGATGTCAAGGTGCCTGGAAGAATGATAATCCATATGATCACCAAAATGGCAAATTCCTTAGAAATGGAGATGTCAAAGAACAAACAGTTTTTTAACAACTTTAAAATGTGGGAAAGGGCCAGCCCTGATGGCTTCCATTTAATTATATTGCCAAAGTGACACAGCATCCTCAAAATATTTTCCAATCCCAGTAAATTATAAAAGCAATGAGCATATCCTGTTTTATTATTCCCTCCCAACAAGTGCAAGAATAATGTCAGCAAAGCTCTTGCTCTGCTGTGATAGTGTGAGAAGAAGACAAGAGGTGTCTTTTCAGTTATTTTTATTGACATATTATTGAGGAAATAAGTTTATGTGGATTTTTTTAAAAGGCAACTATCAGTTGGAAGAATATGTTCTCTTACTCAAGAGTTTTCTCAAGGCCCCTTTCATGTCTTTATTTCTCAGGCTATAAATGAAGGGGTTCAACATAGGTGTGACCACTGTATACATAAATGAAGCAATTATGTTCTTCTCATTGGTGTTGTTGAATGAGGGAAGAAAATACAGACCAATAATTGCCCCATAGTAGAGAGTCACCACTGAGAGATGTGACCCACAAGTGGACAGGGCTTTATAGATGCCCTTGGCAGAGGGAAAGCGTAGGATGGTGGCTCCAATACGGCCATAAGAAATCAGGATGCATACAAATGGAACCATAATGGCTGCTAATCCTGCAGTGAAGATTGTCAGCTGGTTGATGGAGGTGTCCGTGCAGGACAATTTGAGCAGGGCAGCAAGGTCACAGAAGAAGTGCGCAATAGTCTGCTCAGCACAGAAGGACAACTGGGCTAGGAGGAGGGTATGTAAAAGAGCACAAGCACTAGCAATGACCCAGGACCCAGCCACCAATGCAACACAAATGCTCTGACTCATGATGGTGGTATAGTGCAGAGGGTGACAGATGGCCACGTACCTGTCATAGGCCATTGATGTGATCAGGAAACTATCTAAATCAGCAAATAATATGAAAAAATATGTCTGTGAAATGCACCCTGCATAAGGGATGGATTTGTGCTTAGTCTGCATGTTCACCAGCAGCTTTGGGACAGTGACAGATGAGAAAGAGATGTCTGTGAGGGCCAAGTGGCTGAGGAAGAAGTACATGGGGGTGTGGAGGCGCGAGTCCAGCCTGATGAGCAGGATGATGAGCAGGTTCCCCAGCACCGTGGTCAGGTACATGCCCAGAAATAGGGCGAAGAATGCATCCTGATGCTCTGACCAGATGGGGAGTCCCTGGAGGAGGAACTCGGACACGCTGCTCTTGTTCTCAGGGCTCATAATGTATATTAGCTGACAGAGACTAGTGGAGAAAGGTGAAGAGGAAAAAGTAGAATGTCTTGAGATTCAGCCAATATCTTCATTCATATTTTCATATATTTGATGCATATTTTGCTGGGTAAATGTTAAAAATATGTATGCTTATGATATACAGCCAATTTCTCTCTCCTTCTGGCCCCAGTCTCTGTGAATGATAATACTAATAGTTAATGTTTATCGAAAGTGATCTTATGTGCTGTTCCATTATCTTACATGTAGTGGCTGATTCAGCAGTCTTAAATATATGAGCCAGGTGGGTACTGCTTCTATTTCTACTTCTCAGATGGCACAGATGAGGAAGGCAATCTAACGGTCACAGAAGTAAGAAGAGAAGAAACTAAGATTTGGACCTAAACATTTTGAATCCAGAGTTTGTTCTCTGGAAGCAAAACACATTATTTGACCTCGGAGATCTCACTGTCTGTCATAATATTGTGTTTAATGATCTGTTTAATTTTGTATCCCCAATGATTATTTCTGATTTCATTAGCAGCTACAGATGCAGAAGACTGATTCATATGCAGTCACAGATGACTGATTCATATGCAATATGAATGTATTGATCACTAAGAGATGTCCAATTAAATTCATGACAATTTCTTTATGAAACTTACATCAGATCTTGCACAAAACCAAGTTTAGCCATGATCTGAAGGTATCAAATTATTTAGCTGCCATGTGGCATCATATTGGCAGAAGTGCAACTTAAAAGCCAAAAGTAATTTTTAGAGGAATTCTAATCATTTCAATGCCTCTAAAATAGCCCATAAAAGATCTGTTTCTTCATTAATTCAAAAGAGCACCTGCATCCCTATGTTTATAGCAGCACTATTTACAATAGCTAAGCTATGGAAACAACCCAAATGCCCAAAAATAGATGACTGGATCAAGAAGATGTGGTACATGTACACAATGGAATATTACTCAGCAATCAAAAAAGATAAACTCATGCCATTTGCAGCAACACGGATGGAGCTGGAAGGGATTATGCTCAGTGAAATAAGCCAGAAAGAAAGAGAGAAAGACCAGATGGTCTCACTCATAGCAGCAATTTAGAAAACCTAAATAAGGGACCAGGAAAAAGACTAATTATAATAAAGTAAAAATCAAAATCAACAGGCAACTATAAACCAGAGACACACTATGGGGGTGGGGAGGGGAGGAAGGAGTAGGATCAAAACGGGGAGGGGGGGGTGAGAATTGTATGGGGACTATAACCAAGATGAAAATGCATACATTGTGCAAAAATGAAAAATGTAAAAAAATACAAAATTAAAAAATAATAATAAAAATTTTTAAAAGATCTGTTTCTTAAATCAAAATATTGTAAGAAAAGGTGGGCATTCACTGTTAACATATCAAAGCTAAAAAAGCTATATTGAAACAATGTATTTTATAATACATTATTATAAGCAGAGGAAAAACAGAATGTCATTTAAAAAAACATGTATAATGCCACTGATAGACATGGCATGATAAATTCAGAGAGAAAATGAGAGAATCTTCAGTAAGTAGAGCTAAGGCAGTTGGCTAGCCCTAAAGGAAAAATAGCATTATATCCCCACCTTTCACCATTCATTTAAAAAATTATAGAAGAAAATTTTGTAGGTTATGTCTATGACCTTTAGATAGTAACACCTTTTTAATTAAGATCCCTAGGAATACAACATAAATACAAAAGCTAATACTATATGATTATAGTATTTACCTGTATTAACATAAAGTTAGATTAATATGACCACCACTCCAGCAACACCTTAACAACAAAGCCACAAAAAGACAAGTCGTATAAGTAGTCAGTTAACTGCCTATAAAATCTGGAACAAGGTATAAAATTAGAATAGTTATGAATGTTTCACCATTAGGTCTCCCAGAAACAGGTGAAAGATAGTTTTCTACTTAGTGTTGAAGACAGAAGACTTACTGCACAGATTCCAATGCCTTGGACACAACCCCGCCCCATGATTGTAAATGGATTATGTCTCTGGTGAATCCTCTCACCCCCCGCCCCATGCCTCGGGCCTGTACCCCAGCTCTTGTATAAATAAAATAAATCTTTAAAAAATAAATATGTAAATAAACAAACAAACAAATAAATAAATGAAACTGTGTTTTCCCATTGTATTAGATGCCCTAATGAAATATAACCCTCAAGTAGCACAGCACTTGCAGCTTGAGAATACACATGCACTTCAAGATGTAAATCAGAGAGTTTAAGGATGACTGAAAAATCTATGATTTCAGGGTATGTGCCTAAATGACTATATCAATAATAATAATAACAATAAATTATAATAACAATAATATGTAAGTCACGTTTTATTGTGTGAGTAACAGAGGCCCACTGCTGTGATATCTACTTCATATCTTATCAGTATATCAGGACCACAAAAAGGTCATTATTCTCATTTAACCAGTTAGAAGCTAGGGCTTAAAGAGCATAAGCACTTTGCCCAAAATCACACATGATGAAAGTGATGAACATATCAGATCACTAAGTCTCAGATTTAACTGATTTCAAAACCACGTTCTAACCACCAGGCTATATTGCCTCTAACAGAACATGTTTTGATGGAAAATAGATTTCTAGATATGTGCTCCTCATTAAAAACACGGGATCCATAATGCCCCAAAAGCTTTTGCATGGATGCTACTGCCTCAACCCTTAATCAGATGATTGGAAGCAAATAGACTAGAACAGCAACTACAGGATTTACAAAGATAGATGCTCATAAAGTAAATTTCTCAGTCTTCCAGGACAAAAGAAGATCAGACTCTGGCCAACGTTTCTGATAGTCTAGTAGCTTCTATCAATAAGGGATGGTGAAGGCAACTGTAGTACACATTTGTTGGAAGTAACATCACATAACTAGTAAAATAAGTTCATGAAAATTTTATATTTGAAAGAACAAAAAACAAAAAAACTGTATATTTGAAAGAACAAAAAAACATGTTTACAACTAGTTGCAAAAAATAAATATTGTTACCATTAGTTTTAAACTTGGCAGTCTGGATGCAGACCAGATCTTCAGTAAAACAATGAAAGAGAGAACATTTACCTAAAGAAGAAAGTACAGACCCCAAGGAATTATAATTATTATGTCCTCCTAACTTACTTTAGGTGATATTGCAAAATTATATAAAGAAACTGGCATAAAATTGTAAGATATTGTAAAGAACCCCTCCACACACACACACACACACACACACACACACACACGTATGCTAAATGAAGTCTCTAAGCACTGCCCTTACCGAGCTCAGGAGTAATAAATTCAAATACTACCAGCTCCAGAAAAAGACCTAATTTTTCATTTTCTCTCCAACAGACTTCAAATTTGGACAGGGAAAGGTCATGAGCAATAACCTAAGTGGAGAAGATACACACCAGACCTAAGGCGACAACAGAGGTCCTCCCTCTTTACCAGCCAGGATGGGAACCCAAGGGACCAACGCCACAAGTTTCTGGTGAAGGACAATTTGGGACTAATTATTGACTTTCCTTTAACCATCCCCAGAGGAGATGTGTCTTTGCCAGATTCTAAAGATAGTCAACTCCTTTGGGAATATAAATGAGGAGTCTTATTATTTACAGACTCATTTATTTATAAAGACTCTCCACATTCATTTTTTTAATTTATTTATTTATGCATACAAGAACTGGGGTGTAGGCCAGAGGTGCGGGAGGTGAGAATATTCACCAGAATCCTCTCCAGAGACAGAGTGGGGAGCAGAACAGGCAGATCTACTGAAATACACTGCTGAGGGGAGCAGCGGAGGGTGGAGGGGACAGGAGAAGTCTGCTGTGCCATGTGAGTCAGCTCCCTGGCTGGGGGATTGAACTCAGGCCATCACAGAGGTGATAGAGTGATAGCACTGAGACTTAACCCCTAGGCTACCAGGAAGGCCCCAAGAATCTCCACATTTATAAGCTCATTTGATTCTCCCAGTAATTCTTGAATTAGATAGTATTTCCCCCATTTTACTGAGTTGGAGAATGACTCAGAAGAGAATGGCCAAAAAGGATTCAACCCATAAACTGTAAGCCTAAAACCTGGTTCCAGTGCACCCTGAGGTCTCTCTTATAACAGGGAGCTCTGTCTCAGATGCCACCTCTCTCCACTCATTCAATCTGGAACTTTGAGGAGACATGCTACGTGTCCCCAGGGAATAAAAACACTTATCAAAGAATAGCTGAATTTCTATTGCTCACAAATAGAGGTTTTTTCCCTTCTTACAAAAACACCTGAATACATGCAGGGATTTTTTTGACCAGTTATGACACATACTAGTTGGCACATTACTCAGGGCTTAAAATATATTCTTCTTCCTTAAGAAGCCTTCAGGAACCTGTTACATTTAGATATGTAAACATTGAAAAGAGATACAGAATTAAGTGGAGGAGATAGTATTTCATTCATTATATTTTAATCGTTCATTCTTTCATTTACTTATTCATAAAAATATTATGTACCTTTTATGTGTCATGAGTTTTGTGAGTACTGTGAGTGAAGATTTGAGAACACAGTATTTTTTTCCTCTCTCTGAAAGAGCTCCCAATATCTCCCAAGATAGACAAAACTGTGTGTCCCAAAGGTGAGTGTTAGGTGCTATGGGAGCAAGGAGGTTTGGAGTATCAAATGCAAACACAAGGATTAAGCAAGGCAAACTGGTAGGAATTTATAAAGAAGAAACCCAAGAGAACCCAAACAAAGGGAGATGTGGACAGCACAGAGACAGAGCATTTGCAAGAGATAAAGACACATATGTCATAGCAGGAATTTAGAAAACCTAAATAAGGGACCAGGAAAAAGACCAATTATAATAAAGTAAAAATCAAAATCAACAAGCAACTATAAGCCAGAGACACACTACAGGGTTGGGGGGCGAAAGGGGAGGAGGGATTAGGGTTAAAATAAGGGGGCGGGAATTGTATGGGGAATACAACCAAGATGAAAATG